AAAAAGGAAAATCAAGGAAATCATAAGAGAGGTAAATGTTGTTGTTCATACTGTGATGAATGTTTTCGTTGTTACTACTTTAAAATTAACACTTTCTCTCTTTCTCCCTCCCCCTCTCTCTCTCCCTCTCCCGCATTCTCTCAAATCATCTCTCGTTTTTTTCTCGCCTATACTTACCATTCATTGCTAAACCAGACAATATTTCTGTATTTTGGTTATCAATCTTTAAATCTTTATAAGTTTATATCTGATTGTTAGAATTGCTACTAATACTACTACTGCTACTACTACCAATACTACTACTAGTGGTAGTAGTATTATTGTTATTAGTAGTAGTAGTAGTAGTAGTAACAATCATAACCGTAGTAATAAAAAATATTATTATTAATTCGATGATAGAATCATGTTTTATTTCTATAATAACATTAAATTGTCAGAACATGTCTTATCAGTTTTATCAACAACAACAACAACAACGAAAAAAGTGAAAACATCAGTACGAACAATCATACAGACAATGAATACTGACTATTTTCATCGTTAGTTATATTTGGCATTTACAGAGCTACTAGTTTAGATTATTATCATGATTATTCCCCTTTTTGTATTGGTTGTTTAAATCTTCTCATTGATGTTTAGAACTATCATTGATCAGTATGTTAATGGCATATATACATCCTATGTGAACTGCCTCAATATTGCCTTAATTCATAAGCATTATACATATAATACAAAAATGAATTAATCTTTAACACATTGTATACGCTAGTGGTTATCTGAACTCAGTAGCTAAGTAGATAAGGTGATGGTGTATGGAGCGAATGTTATTAGGTTTAAGTCCAGAAGTGAACATCAACTCTGAGATGCAGATATATCCAGCTGACAAGTTCCAAATAGGACGAAACGAACATCCTAGATTACATTGCTAGCCATTATCATCACCGATTGATGACGTAGTGAAACTTCATCAGTTGAGATGGCTTGGACACGTGTTACGTATGCCCAACGACCGACTGCCTCGACGTGCGATGTTCAGTGGTATAGGAGTAGGTTGGAAGAAAGCTAGGAGCGGCCAGAACAAAACATGGCACAAGTCCATGAAGTCACTGACAAGTGGACTGAGTAATGTTGGTTGGTGTAGACTACCTGGTTGGGGACCGTGAGATGATAGCAACCGATGGTTAGAGACCCTGAATGACATGGCTCAAAATCGTTTTCAATGGCGCAGGTTCATACACTCCTTGTGTCCCCCAAATTTTGATCTCCCTATTCCTCCTTTTCTCTTTTTTTTCTCCTCTCAAATTCATTTCACTGTATTATACTCTTTAAATAACATCTCCAAACCCTAATCTTCTCGATTACTGCTTATACTCTTATTACCTCTACTACTACGGGATTTGAATCGACCACTGCATCTCTATGCTAATGTGGTGTGGCAACTCGAACTGATGTACGTACGTACGAAGTTCTACGTTGTTACTGGCTGACTGACTGACATTATCATCATCATCATCTCTGTTTATAATAATAATGATTAGTATAATAAAATAAATGTACCTATATATTTGGCATTCAAATATCGAATAGATTTCAATGGATTATAATTAAATTATTATCAGTAAATATAAGAATTTGACAAGTAGTGAGAAAAAGAAACTGTATAAATGATATCAAACATACATATCTACTATGAATGGTACAGTAGAAAGAAGAAAAGACCTTAACATAGTATTGTTTATCTTCTAAATGGTAACTTTTGGAATTTTATATTTTGATACATAGTCTGAAAGATATCACTGGGTTTTGATTTAATCAACCTAACGAAATAATTATGTTTCCTTTTTTACTCATTACATTATGTAATGAAATGTAAACAACAGAAGCAAAATAATAATAACGAGAACAAAACCCAAATGGAATGGGCAAAATTTATTTTCTGCTTATTTACACAGTTTTTTTTTATATTAAGATTCATTCAATTACTTTAATGAAACAAGAAGATCAGGTATGTTGTGTGTGTGTGTTTTCTTTTCTCAGATAGATTTTTTTTCTTCTGTATGTTGATACAGAGAATACTTCAGTTAGGTAATATACAATTTGTTGATTCAAGTTATTCCATTCATGTTCATGGGTATATAAATAAAAATAGATGAATAAATCAATGATTGGTTAGAAGTGGTAAGATTGAATTCAAGATGTTTGTTCAGAGAAGTGATTTTCTTATGAAATTTAAATTGGACTGAGTCAGACAGTCAGTCATCTACGACGTACGATCAGGCACATATATGCATTGGTTCAAGTTGCCATACCTCATTAGCACAACAAGATGGACACTGGATTCCTAGGAGTGGTTAAGTCAATAGTGGTAATATATAAAAGAAAGATTGCAATAAGGATATAGTACACGAAGAAAGAATTGGTTGGTAGAAAGAAAGATATGAAGCGATTTCAATCTCATAGTTTAAGGGAAAACAGAGAGTGTATACATCGACGCCATTGTGATCGATTCTGAGCCATGTCACCAAGAGTCTCCAATAATTAGTTACGATAGTCACGCGGATCCCAACCAAGTAGTCTGCATCTACCAACATGGCTAAGACTAGGAGTTAGTGACTTCAAGCACTGATGTCACGTTTTAGTTTAGTCACCCCTAACTTTCTTCCAACCATCCCCTACACTAGTCAGAATTTCGCGTCGTAGTAATTGGTGTTCATGCATACATAATACATGGTCCAACTTTTTCGGTTAATGAATATTGAAATATTTCCATAGTCAACTAATATCATTTTTATGCATTAATGTATATCACTAAAAGAATATTATAAATTTAAATAAGGAATGTTATTTTAGTGGTTATAAAATTGGGGTTTTTTAAATCAATTTATCACATTATATCTGGATAGTTTGATGAGAGTTGTGATGTATTTGTGTAATCCATTTCAAACAATCTGGTCACACATAAAAGGTCAACTAGACAAATTAAAAGGTAAGAGGAAATAAAGATGATAATAATGATAAAGTACACAAAAACAATGTGAAAACCAGGTTGAGTAGGTTAAGCGTAAGAAAAATTGTTTTTGAACATATAAAGGAGGTTTCAGTTTTTCGTCTAGTCAAGGCTTTAATAAACCTTAGTAGACACACTCTTCAAAACTTTTGTACAAAACTACATAGACTGATTTGATATCAACCTTATGAACTATCTTAATCAAATATTTTAGAATGGAAGATGTGTCTATCATGTGATGGTATTTGACCATTGGAATTCATTTATTTTTGTAGCCATTTAGGTATGTGGTCAGTCGCCCTTATATAAAGATTCAAATCGCTCCTCCCTATGTACGTGCTTCGGAACATACACGGAAATTGATAGACACAATTGCTTACCTGCTGCTTGGAGTATGTCTTTTCTATAATGACGAGTTGGGCTGCATAAAATGTCCTTTTGATGGCTAATTTAAGTCTCCATTTTAACATGAGACTATTTGAGTCATCTCTAAATGGTAATGTAATATAGACTCGCTTTTTGGGTGTCAGAAGCGTCATAGGTCTCATCATATTGTAACCTTTCCAATGATTTATAAACTTCAATGAATAACCGTTATTGACCAGTTTTTTTAGGTAAAAGCTTTGGGTCTCCCTCAATAGTATTGCGAGTACAAATAAGATTGGTCACATTGAATGAGCCCATTATTATTTCACGCTTGGATTGCATTGGATAGTGACTATGAAAAGTAAGATATTATCCTATCCATGTCGGTTTACTATACCTCCTACTAATCAGTTAGTCTAGAAGAGAAAGCTGGTTGTTCATCACTTTTTCTCATTTAAGAGAAATATACTTTTTGACTTGCGTTGAATTCCCCTAACACACAATTCACATATTCAAGTTTATCACATACCATTATTATGTTATCCATGTACCACTAATACAGACGCATCTTTTCAATTGAGTCTTCAACTAAATTATCCACATCAGCCAGTAATCGTCCTAAAGTACTACTCACAGTTACGTCATTGGTCTGTCGAAAATTAGTTTCAGATAAAGTTTAATACTTTTGTTAACCATTTTACAAAATTATATGTAGGTGACCAACATCGATAGAATTGAACGTAATTCGGTAATGGGCTTTTGAGTAGTCCATATAAATTAGAAGAAACCTATAGATTTTATCACAGATTGAAATCATGAGTCAGTTGAAGCTAGACCACCATTGAAAACCTGGAGCACTAGACGGCTGTTTAGTCCTAGTATGGGACTCCTCAACAGTGCGCATCCACGAACCCGCACCCCGCGGGATTCGAACCCAGGACCTACTGGCTTCGCGCGCGACTCATGATTTCAATCTGTGGAAATTTCTAAAATCTCCACAAACCCTTGTGACTATAGATTTTAATAAATTAATTTCCTATTTCCTAATAGCATTCATGCTAAGTGAGTTCATTAGATTCCAGTTAACAATGCTTTCTAATTTACGTAATTCATCAGAGTCAACATAAGGCGTAAGTTTACTTTCGTCACTAAGAATAGATTCCATTATCTATATAATTGTTCCAGTCGACATTTTATTTGACTCAACATGGATTGTGGAAAGTTGGTACATGATCAATTAGTTAGATTAGCATTAAATTTGAGTATAATAAACGACAAATGTTTAGAAATTTATATAAACTGCTTGATAATATCATTGAAATAGATTTTACCGTAGTTAAGATTGGTAAAGGATTGATCGTTCTCAGTCTTATATGCTGTAGTAACACAGTAGAACTTCAACCCATATACATTTCATATCATATGAGATCTTACAAGCACATTCTTCCTCCTTAATATCTCATATCAACTCGACACTCAAATACTATGAAACTATTCGATCAAATTTAGACAAAAGTTCTCATTTGAATAGTTTAAAGCTAGTAAATCTACCTATCATATTGTGAAATTTATTTTATATTTTGGTTAATATTACATTTTAAAAAAAGGTAATTTATTTGGAACTCACTAATCATTTAGTAAAGATTTGTGTTTTTGATTTCGGTCTACCCCTTTTGTATTCAAGAACTGATGGCATTACTCAGCCATCCATAATGAAGTAGAGAGTGTGTGATATCGTCCTGTAACCCTATAGTAGAAAAAATGAGTGTAGATTTAGAAGTTTTGTATAATATCAACTTGTTTTAAAGTCAAATATACTATTTACGACTAACTTGGAATATTATTCACATTTTAATAAGAGAGCGAAGCAGAAGACCACTATTGCAAACCTCAAAGCACTGGACGGCCGTTTCGCGTTATCGCGGGATTTCTCAGCAGTCCGCATCCCCGATCCCGCTCGAGGGATTCAAAACCAGGGCTTTCAGTCTCGCGCGCGAGCGCTTAACCTCTGGACATCCAACGGTGTTAATGTCTAACTGCAACCAATCCGCGAAATTGAGCGACCATCTTCCAAAATCCGTGTCGAGAAGAGATAGGTATCTACCTCAGTACAATGGAAGATGGTCACGCAATTTCGTGGATTGATTGAGGTTAAAAATAAACACTATTGGATGCCAGCCGGCTCAGTGGTCTAGAGATTAAGCGTTCACGCGCGAAGCTGAACGCCTTGTGTTCGAATCCCGGCAAGCGCGATCGTGGATGCACATCACTGAGGAGTCCTATAATAGGACGAAATGGCCGGCTAGTATTTCCAAGTTTTCAATGATGGTCTAACATCAATCAGTTCATGATCTCAATAAAAATACTTAATAATCTTTAGTTTTTGTTAGTGATTAGCTATCAAAATAAGTTTTGACTAAGGAAATTCTTCTGAATTGGATGATAAACAAATATTGTTTGAAAATCACAAAATACTCAAGCTGATTCTATATTTCAATAAGAGTTTGTCATACATACATACAGACACTCACATTTTTTTCAAAATCGGTTTTCTACCCAGTTAACTAGTTACAATGAAAAGAAACCCTGAAGTATGTTTATTTCCCATTTATTACAAGTATTAAATTCTTGAGGTCAAGTAGCTCAATAACTTAGTGACCGTAAAGACCTCTTATATCATAAATAATGATATATAAATCTTAATTAGTTTTATTAAATCATCATGAACTGTGTCAAGAGTGATAGTTCACTTGATACTGAATCAAGAGAGGATACAATTAGGCACTTCAAATTATTTCTTTTCTGTAAATTTTGTTTTATTGATTATCAAAGAATATTTCGGTATTCTTTGTCGTTATGAAGGAGAAGTGTCATATATATAAATAGATAAAAATAAAATCTCATTTGAAGTATCATCCATTAGTCAACGACTTTATGAAACTAGGTAATTAACAAGCCGGCGTGAGGGACTGATGGGTCCTGGGTTCAAAACTCGTGAGGCGGGATCGTGGATACGCACTGATGAGGAGTCCTACAATAAGACGAAATGGCCATTCAGTGCTTTCAGGTTTTCCATGGTGGTCTAGCTTCAATTGACTCATGATCCCAACTACTAAAATATTTTTTCTCTTAAAATTACATACATTTTACAGTAAATTATTCATAAATAGAACTTAGTGGTATAAACCTCTTACTGAATTAGTTAGACTAAGTATTTGTTTAGTCTAACAATAGTCTTCATTATAGAAAAACAAAAGAAAGGCAGTCAGTGATAGATTGATATACTGTGGGCAGATGTTTCGCGCTCGTCCGAACTTCTTCAGTAGTAGAACTATCCATAACTCGACACATAGAATCAGAAGATTCCAGGTTCGTATCCTGCCAGGCTCGCCGCCCCCAAATGCCCTGGTACGGCCGAGAGTGGGGAGAGTCCACTCTCCCTCTCGAAATGCTCTCACATGGCCACGCGTATATAGCCTCTACCAGGGAAGTCCTACTCACTGCCTTCTCGTGGCGGGGGTGTTGTTTACGAAATGAGAGGACGAAAAGCGAATGTCCGCGCTTTATCCGGATCCCAAACCAATGGTGCACATGGGCTCCAGTATCTTGAAGGAACAAATGGCGTACGAACCAATTGTTGGTCACCGGCTTCCATGGGACTGCACCTCCTTACGATGCTCCACTGCCTTGTGGATCAGACCTCAGGTCGAAGGCTCGGGGTGTGGCCCCCTAAGAAAACCACTTGCTTCGGTTTGGGCACCCGGCAGTATCGCAGCCCTCACACATATGGAGTGGGATTTATGTGGCGCATATGTATTTGGTGCCTCCTTGTACCAATATCTATGTGTTAAAATAAATAAATAAATAAACAAAACATGGAATCGAACCCAGGACACGCTAGGTTAACGACACTATATGCTATATATGCTGAATTTATGATTCATATAATAAATATATTTAGTTGCTTCTCAATATAATGATTATTCAACACAATCGGTAAGTAACTATTTCAGTCGTAAACGTATTGAATTCACAGATTAATAGGATATATTTCTAACACAGTTTAAACTAAGTATAAACAGTTAATCACTACTAACTGATTGTCAATATCTCTCTAACTGATATCAATTGGTGATTAAAATAATTGGTAAAATAAACTACAACAGTCACTTCATTACAAAGTTACAAAATGATTTATAATGTAAGTTTAATATCTTTCAGAGTTAGAAATGAAACTTGAAAAGAATTCTTTAACACAATATATATGATTGAAATGACTAGATAACTCATTGATCATTAAGATATACTATTACATTGGTTAAAGAATGAGTAATTCTGTCACAATGACAAATGAACATGTACATATTCATTATGACACTGTTTAAGGGACATTCATTAAAAATGAGAATGAAAGATATGTATTCTAGCTTGTAAAATACGGGTTCTCATCTCATATTCACACAAATATACACATACTTACTTACTTACTTACGCCTGTTACTCCTCGTGAAGTATATTCATATACATATACATATAAAGTATAACAAATGACAATAGTATGATGATTAGAAGATTAATCAGGATAAAACAAAACTGTAAAAAAATCAATAAAACCTGGCAGTATTAAATGCAAGTATTGTCATGTTTATTACTCACTACTACTGTATATTGGTCTACATTTTACATGTTTGTAGGTGTATTTGTGTTTTTTACAAGCTTGTATGATTGTATACAATATACATCTCTCTCTCTTTTCTTATATGTATGTATAATATAACCTAGTTGTCAAACTAAATTCACTTACACATTTATTTTCTATATTGTACCTCATTTATATCACCTAAATATCGACATTATTATTTTAATGATCATGAATGGTATTTCTTCTGTTGATAGTTCTCTCGATTTGTTTGTGTGTGTGTGTGCGTCTATGTGTGTGTGTGTGTTTGCGTGCATATAGATACCTGTGAGTATATATTTTATTCATTTATTACAATAGATTATTATTAATAATAATAATAATAGTTAGACATCAGTTTGACAATTATGTTCTTTTTCTTTTTTATTAAAATTAATTGAAGGATCTATTTATCATTAAGAAAAACTTAATAAACTTTTAATAATATTGTTATTATTAATGATGATTAGTGATTAGAAACAGGTATGTATCCGTAGAACTGTGTTTTGAATAGATCATATTAATTAGAACTAAAACTAATAACCAAATATGAATGAGATGATGATGCTGCTGATGATGATGATGATGATTTGGATGGTGATGATGCTTATTATTTGAATGATGATGATTTGGATGGCGATGATGCGTATTATTTGAATGATGATGATGATGATGATGATGATGATGATGATGATGATTCGGATGATGATGATGATGATTTGGGTGATAATAATAATAATAATAATATTAATGATAATAATAATAATACTAATAAAGTCAGAGGAAAGAGAAGAAACCTAAATAAGTTGGTTAATATTGTCAATTGACCTAATTAATAATGTACATTTAGAAAAAAATATTTCTACATAAATGAAAATAATCGATAAAATTTCCAATGATTGATAAAAGATATAATTTTTGTCTGGAATAAAAAGTCAATAAAAGATTCCTGTATTATCAAATCAGTTTAAATTATAAACTGAATTCAATTGAAGAATATTGAACCATATTTTATCTTCATTTGGAATTTATATTAGAGATGCTTGATCAGCTACTAATGTTCAGTCAGTCAGTCAGTAACAACGTAGAACTTCGTACGTACGCACATCAGTTCGAGTTGCCATACCACATTAGCATAGAGATGCAGTGGTCGATTCAAATACTGTAGTGTTACATTTAGTAAAATTATAAGCTGTAATCAGAAAAATTACGGTTTGAACATGTTATTCAAGGAGTATAATCCAGTGACATAAGTTTGGAAATAGAAAAAGGGGACATGAAGAATTCAAAAGATTAGAATTTAGGAGAACACAAATAGTTGATGCACCTGCGCCATTGCAAACGATTTTGAGCCATGTCATTCAGGGTCTCTAACCATCGGTTGCTATCATCTCGCGGTCCCCAACCAGGTAGTCTACACCAACCAACATTACTCAGTCCACTTGTCAGTGACTTCATGGACTTGTGCCATGTTTTGTTCTGGCCGCTCCTAGCTTTCTTTCAACCTACTCCTATACCACTGAACATCGCACGTCGAGGCAGTCGGTCGTTGGGCATACGTAACACGTGTTAGAGATAGAATTATGAATTATGAGGTTTAGCAATGATCATTTTACCTTTCAACTATTGATATCTTAGTTCTTATTTTTAGTTAATTTGTGATATGTTATCATTTAATACCATTGTGGATATCTCTATCACTTCTGATATGACTGGATTCCATTAATTATGAAATTTTAACAGACACTCGAAAATTCATATAGATTAGTTATCAACAGTAAGTATACGACTATTATTAAGACTGAGGGTTTAGATTAAAATATTCAGCTAGAAGATCTTTTTTATACAAAAAAATGATCTTAACTAAATAACCGATGAATTCTCTGTTCTGATTCATTTCATCAAAAGTCTGTATGAATGCTTTATTAGTATTACATTGCCAGTCTGTATGTATGTGATTACCGACATAGTTCATTGTTTCATTTGCAAAGTATAGAAATGACTTCAGTTATAAAACGATGAAATATGAAGTACAAGTTATTAATTCAATGGAAACAGTGAGATCAAAA